TTAAACCTGACCACCATCAGGCACCTTTCTAGGGCTCCAGCCTCGGGTGACTGCCCACTCACTCAAGCATGTGGTAGTGCGACTAACTCACCCTCACCACTCAAGGTGCCGAGCACACTTTCCACCAACATTCCAAAGGAATAGGCATCCCGGGCGTGTCCGTGGGGCTCCGGCAGAGCTGTGAATTCTGGAGACTAAAAGCAGTGGAGACCATTGAGTTGGGGGACTGACTGCCTGACGAGTCATATCTGATCCTCTGGGAAGCAATTTCTCCTGTTTTTGCATTTATGACTCTGAAAGCTAACCACACACTCATTTTCAGTCTCTTACACTGTTCGGGATAAAATTTATCACACATTTCAAAATATCGAACAGGGGCAGAAAGGAAGGAAGGAAGGAAGAAAGACACATATCACATATGTTGGAGCTTCAAAAAGTTCATGGAAAAATTGAATTAAAAATAATGAAACTTTTCCATAAGCTTTTTGAAGCCCTAGTCATACATACCCATTAATAAAATCATTTGACATAAAATACTAAAATTGAAGAGCTAAGCATTTGATATTTCCTGTTCCTTTTTTTTTTTCTTTTCAGAATACTAATAGTATTTACTTGGATCAACTTTATTTATTTCAAGTTTTAGATTTACCCTGATTGTTTATAGCTGAGTTCCCATGGTCCATGAAGCACATTAACTATGCCTTTGTGATTCAATGCACATTTATAATCGCTAAATGACAGGCTTAGAGGGATTTATTGGTAGAGATCATCTTCCTTACCAGTACCACAGTGCTGATCATCACTCTCCTATGCATCTCGATATGCTAACTGATGGCCAGGTAGGCAGATGAGTGGCTTAGGGAAAGCACAGGAAAGGACCAGAGCTGCTCTTCTCCAAGCACTGTGGCTTCCAGCAAGGGGGTACAAACTCATCTAAAAGTAGGGATGGACCACCTCTCCTGTGCACCCTGAGGTAGCTAAGGAAACATCAACATGTGTCCTTATGACCAAAAGTGTACGCTGAGTCGAGAGAAAGGGCGTGCTGGCTGTGGTCACAAGAGACATCTCCGAAGAATGCTGGGCCCCGGTAACTAACTCCGTACAGAAAGGAGCCAGCAGAAGAAAGCTGTTTTACGTCTCATGCTTAGTCCTACAGTGAAGACTAGGTTATTTTGAAGTATATTCTCTTACCTTCTCTTCAGGAGGAACAGAAGCTGGGTCTCTTACTGACTGAATGCTCCTTAGAAACTGCATTGAGAAATAAATTGAGGAAAGGAATTCACACGTGTCTGAAGAGCCCATCTCTGACACCAAGTTACAAAAGAACGGCGATGGGAGCATCACCTTTGAGCCGATGCTGTGCATTAAGTATCTAACCGAAAACCTTCCATGGCCTGGTCCTACACACAATGGTGGAAAAGGAAGCTGTCGTTTCCTTTCTTCTCCCCTCCAGCATGTTTAACAAACACCCTCAGCTGTTCACAGGCATCCCATCGGATTTTCCGACATGGAAATTAGGAATAGTGCCTTCCCATCCTACACATGCTACAAACTAAGTGACTTCTCCAGCCTAGATTGAATCTTTCATCAATTTCCTCATGAGCTAGGTTAATCATAAGGCTTGTTGCATGGGATAAAAAGTGGCAAGCCTATGAGGAATGGAGACAGGACAACACCCACAGAACAAGCCCGGTCATTATTCTTTCAAGGATTCTTTCTGACACCACTAAATGTCTGTAACACCACGAGGGTATGAGAGATACAAAATTAATGTGACAAGTGCCCCGCCCCCAGCTGGAATTCACAACCCAGAGTGTATACTAAGAATGTCACTAACACCTGCTGAGTGCCACCATGCAGTGTATACTAAGAATGTCACTAACACCTGCTGAATGCCACCATGCAGTGTATACTAAGAATGTCACTAACACCTGC